TCATCATCATCATCATCAATCGTCCACTGTTGTCCCTGACCTGAGGGACAAGTTATACCCTGTTTAATTGACCGCACTAACACAACAAAATGTCGTTGCTCAATGATGGTACCGCAACACGGCGATGATAAACTGTTGATCAGTCCAAGTTGTGCCAGCACGTTTTGAGCCGATTAAACTGCTGGCCCAATTATCCAGGGTTATAATTATGCACCATTTTTCCCAAATTTTGGGTCTCACCCTTTCTGAGGTGTGTTCTGGTGTTCTTCGAGCATCTTTCATTTCACTTGCACATTCTCTTCCTATCATAATAAATGTGTGACGGTATGTGCTAGTACGTCTGGTTTCTTCACCAACTGGCTATGCCCAGCGTAGGGTTGTTGGCTACTTCTTTGGTCCAGTAGAGTAATGCTGTTAGTAAGCATTTAAAACTTCCTTCGCAGGTTGACAGCGTCTGTGTGGCCGGTGTGAGCATGCGACCATACCGATTGAAATCAACACGGGCCAATCATCGAACACCAAATGACTGAGGGGCCCTAACGAGCGTTAGTCTCTTTTACTTCAGCGAGAGCTCATCACCGCCCAATCCATCACGACCTTAACCGCCTTCCCTAGCGGAGCTGTCCACTGGATGCCGTAATCGGTGTCAATGGGCGTCGTTACTAGTAGTGACTGAAGTTCAAACTAGCAGGCCATTTTGTCTATCCAACGTTCGAGTTATCATCTCAACCTTCTTTCTCGACTTGGGGTGACCACCGTCCGCATTTATGCAGAGCTAGTCTGTGATGATTGTAAAAAGAACTAGTTTACTGCTCTTAAATATCTAGCTCGAATAAAGTACTGGTCTAAGCAACTGGATTTTACTGTAGTTGTCAACGTTAAGGTTGAAAAATGTTTCTGCGAAAATTCCCGTTTTACGACTGAAAGGGGATTTATAGTAATCCGGAGGACAGATGAAAATTTACTGGAAGTTTATTTGAAGTCTATAAAATGCATTATAGCTTTCACTGAGTCACAACGACATAACCTCGAACTAAACATCATATTCTTTTGCATTTATTCTCCACGCCACACCGTTAATGCCGCTGTGACATTCATGATGTCAATGTCATATTCGGATTTATTTGCTGTGTCCAGTGTCCCTATTCGCAATAAGTTTGATGTGGGGGGTCTAACTTTTACCATGTGCCCAAACCTCCATGTCAGAGACAGTTGAGAACCAGGTTCTGGACGCTGAGGTACAGGCTACGTTGTGAACTGTATGTTTTTTTAAAGGACTGCGAAGAAACCGGGTTCTGATGAGAGGAACAACGGGAGACCCACTCATGACCCGAGCTCCTCGCAGCTGTGTCATACAGCGGCACAGGATCGGTGAAACACGCATGCCCGGACTTTTAGCCAATACCTGTGCTGTCAGTAAGGTTGATGACTAAATATACTATCGTTCACCTATCGACAGGTTGTGAACCTGCACTACCTGGTTCACTTTAGTTCGATTATTCATATGAACTCTCGGGCCGAACCAAAATACGTTTTTTTCCAAGGGATTTACTTTAGATGTGTGCATTAATTTCCTCGGGAATTACACAACGTAGAAGTAAGGAGTGAGTTTGAAAAAGGCAAAGAAGGTCTCGCGCCTAAACTGCCCTGTCAAAGACAGCTGAGTACGGGCTTCTGGGCGATGTGAACACAAGCCAAGGAGGGTTTGGCTACATTTTGAACTGCAAGTTTTCGAAAAGAAAGGACGTGTGAGGAAACCGGATGCTGATTGTTTAGAAAGTCTGTCAATGTCATTTATTCTGACCTTGCAGTCTTTAAGCGCTTCATTCCGACATAAATAAGGGCAGATTTACGCGTTTCAACAGTCTCATATGAGGTGCATCTCCCAAGGCTTTTTTGGAGGAAGGACTAGATAAGAATAAGCGAGATGGCATGGGGCAACCTTTGTTAAAAGAAATCGAAGGACTGACAGCGCAAAGTCCGTTTGTCTTCCAATCTATCATGACTTACGGAACTAGTGCAGTGAGACAACAGGCCTTGGAAGGCACGGCCACCACCACTTATGAAGGAAATTGTTTAGGATTTGGAAGAAACCCCAATTAGAAGTTATAAAAGGGTTGCAGTGAAGCCTGAATATGAACCCGTCTTATAATCCGTCCGTCTGCAATGGCAGCGCCACCGCCAAACATTCTGGTAGAGGCAAAATTATAGGCCTGGTATGATCAAATGAATCATTGCTTAACCGATCAAACGGCCTTATGACACCAAAGTTGGGAAACATACACTGCATTTACAAACTGCATGCCACAGCCGTCGCAAGGATCTTCTAGAAAGATGACAGCACTGTCTGCCTAGCACTGGTAGTACACTTTTAGTTACCTTAACTTGCTCTAATTGGCACCACGATGTGTCGACAAGGGTCGTAATTATTTTTGGCTAGAGCGCTTGTGATGATCAGCCCAGTCCGCCGTTCGATACCACGACAACCGTTCATTCTAGTCTGATCTAAAGTTTTTTTCTTTGCACTAGATGCATGCGTGCTATCGAATTCCCTGGATTAATTTAAGTGCATAAGAAAAGAACGAGACCAAAGTATATAAATGAAAAAATTGCGACCTAGTCGAGGTAGATTACGGCGTCTGTTAGTGCGGTGATCCCTAACTAACTTTTCATAAAAACAACGGTGGGGGCACCTGTCTAATCATGGTGGGCAAAGAATACCCCGAGCTATGAAAAGATTCCGGGCTTAACAGCCCAAAAAAGATAAGTCAAAACAGAATTGACAAGGATGAACATTTTGAAAACTGAGCTCAGATATATTTAAGGCTGAAAAAATCTATGACTTCCCTTTCTGTTTGGTGACGGGTACAACCTCGTTCGCAGTTGCAAAACTAAGCAGCTGAGAGTAAACACGGTTATCAGTGACGCGCTCCTGCGGCCCAGAGCAGTCTAAAGGCTGCCATAAGTACACATAAATGTAGAAAAACTAAATCCATGCAACTATCTTCAGAAACAGACTAAGTTAAAAGGGTAATTGTGTTTGGGGTAGATGATGATGCAATGACTTTTACACAAACAACGCTGTCGAAAAGGGTCAATGAGAAGAAACCATCGACTTACAATGTCTAAGAAGTAATCCACATGAGGGCGCTTGTGAACAGAAAAACGCACTGGGTGATGATCTATGTCGACTTTGAGCACAAAATCAGGCGGCGTCCCAGGCCGTACAGTAGTTCGTACCATGCCATCAAGTACGGAGTGAATGAGTGTTTCATCCAAGTCTATGACCATAATCTTGCGGCGGCGCAAACCTGTAAAAATTGAATGCATGCAGTTGATATAGATGCACATAACAGCTTATACGTCAAAATTACTAAGTAAGCGATCGAAAACAAGAACTAATTATGTTCGCCATAACCGCTTCATTAGATCTGGGGCTTCGAATTTTAGACAAGACGCAAACGAAGCACCAAAGTTCGACCTCTGCTAGATAAGCTCTAGTAGTACTTACCACTACCCACTTGGATTAACTGACTGGAAGTAGCACAACCGCAAGTTCCATTAGGTTAAGAAAAAATGATAAACTTGGGAGTTTACTGGTACACAATTCTTTCCTCAACATACGGAAAAAGACGATTAATGTCAGAGCATACCAGGCAGATACATTTATTTAGAAAAAACAGGTCGGGTTAAGTTTCTACTTGTAAAAAATAGGAGGAGTTTACTTACACAACTGTAGTTTTGAAAGGGGAGATAGAGGAACCACAGTGTAACGGACGCTTTGGTATTGCAAAACCTACAGCTAGCTGAAAAAGACAGAAGTACCGTTTTAGCATGCTTGCGGAAAGTATAGGAGCAGAGACTCCATAGGTAGGCGATGAACATGGAGATCAGCCGCACATGATAAATCAGTTGCTCCCTGACCTTCAATCGATAATACTCTAGTGACCAGCGAAGCATTTATATGTCTGTTCAGTATTGAAAAATAAATAATTCCATAAATAAAGCTAATGAATATCCTTCGCGGAAGAAGGTAACCGCATTACGTGGACCAACACCGAGAAGTTTTTTAAAAAAGAGCCAGGTGACCGACTCGAAGGCCGCGCTTCGTTGTGTAGTCTCGTAAAATGGCCTGAAGGAAATCTTAAAGCCTAGGTTCTATAAATAAGCTGAACTTAACAAGTACCCGACTCCCATAGTGTATTTTTCAATATTTTTTTTAAATTGCGATACCTCCTTGATGAGCTACCTATTTCAAATATTGACGAGTAGAAGGATACCAGTGTTCTAATAAACGCCTCCCCTAAGCTATCTTCACACCTTCCAAAGGCAGCTAAGCGCGCGACACAGGTGCTGTTTGCCATTATACGGCGATTCGGCCACGACGACAAGGAACTCTTCGGAAAAACCCATGGAGCCTTTGTTCGGTCCTACTTGGACTATGCCGTCTAGGCCTGGCGTCCGTGGCTTAAGGATTATCTGCACCTGGAACAAGGGCAGGAAGACAACTGGCCTTTCGTTTGTCGTATATCCCATCTAAGTGAGATAAAAATCTGGCTAAAAGCATGCTTAACATTTATACTACTGATACGTTATAAGAGGAAGCAATATATATT